TCACCCCATTGCACGGATTCGGACTGCCAACCTTCCAATCAGCAAGCCCAAGAGGCTCAGTGGTTTAGACCACAGCACAACCCGCTCCCTTATAAAGAGATGTAGTGTTAAGAAGACGCTAAATTCAGTAATCTCTTTTGTAGAACAAGGGCTCCATCTAATGGACATAATTTATAAATTCAACTAAAATTAGGCTCAGGATCAAAAGTATGCACAAAATAAAAATTGTATTATTCTTTTTGATTCAAAGTGACCTGAAGTAGGTTGGATATGAGTGAAGTATTAGCAGCTGGAGACAGACTGCATCCTCAACCCTTTATTGCCCCGTCCCTTTTAAATTCAGGTATGTTAGGAGCTGCAGTACAAAACACCAGGCTACAGAAAGCTATTTTAATCTGTCTTATTTGATTATTTTTCTGCTGTTGAAGTTTTTAACTGTTTCTTAGAATTTGTAAAACTGTTTTAGAAGGGTGTTGTTGTTTTTTGGTGTTAGTAGAAGCCATAATTGTATAGTTTTATTATAGGTGTTTGTCACCTGGGTTTCCTTGGGAGAGATGGGATATACTGCAAATGTAATAATAAATAAATATATTGTTTTTCTGTCTTTATTGTTGCTGTAGTGTTTTAACAAGTTTAGCCATCAGGTAGAAATTGTAAGTACAGTGGTACCTCGGGTTACATACGCTTCAGGTTACATACGCTTCAGGTTACATACGCTTCAGGTTACAGACTCCGCTTACCTCGGGTTAAGAACTTTGATTCAGATTAAGAACAGAAATCGGGCTCCGGTGGCATGGCGGCAGCGGGAGGCCCCATTAGCTAAAGTGGTGCTTCAGGTTAAGAACAGTTTTAGGTTAAGAACGGACCTCCGGAACAAATTAAGTACTTAACCCGAGGTACCACTGTATCCACTTCTGTTTAGTGTTAACTATGGTTTATTGACGCAAGCCATGTTCATTAACCACAGTCTGAAATTTGCCTGTTTCTATGAACCTTTGTTAACACTACCCACTTTTTGGCTGGCACCAGGCATAATGACAACTGGAAACAAATGGTCTGCCTTGAGTCCCATCAGGGGGAAAAGTGGGGTATAAATAAATATACCCCCCTACATGTACTCTTATTGGCCCTGACCTGTAAAGGCTTAAGCCCACAAGACAAGATGCAATTTGTTCATTGGTTGGTTGGTTGGTTAAAAAGAAAAAAACAAATTCTACTTTACAGTAATATTAAAAACAAACCCAATAGCAAAAATCACAATAAACTTTTATTGATCGGTATTGCATCCATATTTAAAAAATACAATTAAAAATAAAAGACACAAGTCCAAAATAGAATAGATTACATGTAAAATAATAATCAGAATATACACTTTTGGGGGAAAAGTATTTCTGAGAAAGGCAGTAGCACTATCTGTGCAGTGCCCATTCTATATAATAGTCTGCTCAGATGCAAATCCCACAGAACTTAATAAGACTACCCAGGTAAGCATGTATAGGAGTGGAACCTAGTTGTAGTGTTACCAGGAATCACAAGGTGGTGCTATTATATAGAACTGCCTAACTTTCAGGTTGGTAAATATTGTTAGAGCTTGCAGTTTGCTCTCTTTTTATTTGTCCTTACAATGGGTACCACAAACACCCCCCTTACCATTTATTCTCTGCCTTATTTCTTTGAAAACAACTTTGTCTCAATTGCTTTATATTGAAAACTATAGCACCATGATCTTACCATCATTAACATGCACCATGTTCATATGAAGCAAGGAAAATCGCTGTGGAAGAAAGAGAACTGCAGAATTTCGGGGAGCGAGGCAGCTCAATGACCATAACTGGATCTGGGAGAAATGAGGGATATCTGGGTAGGAATTTGACCAAGCGACTGTGATCAGTTCCAAACAGAAGCTGTTGCCTGGCCTCCCAGAAATTCTGTCCTGCTTTCTTTTTCCAGGAGACTGAGGTCAATGAAAGCAAGGAAGTTAGGGAAGTATCAGCTGAGAGCATGAATCCAAAGCACAGGGGAGCTAAGATTAAGAAATGGGAGCAGGGGAAATCAAGCAGATTCTGGAGGGGTGCGCCTGCTGAGCATCTGCTTGCCCTGGCTATGCAGAAGTTTTTAAGGCACTTGCCTGCACTTTTGGAGGAAGTGCACAGATGCAACAGAGCAGCTTGTCAGCTGGGTGGATATGAATGAGAGCCTTTGATCTCCACCTGCCGCTCCCGGGATGGACATAGATGCAAAGAGGAGGAAGTCAAGAAGGGACAGATGTTGAAAATGAAAATAACGTCTTGCTTGGCTCTTGATCTTTTAATATGCTATTGTTAGGCTGCTCAGCAGACAATAAGACAAGAGGAAGGAGGGAGTGAACGTTTTAATTCACCAAGGGTAGCTTTAAAGGGGGGGGGCAGAGCCAGCCCTACTAAGGGAGAGAAAACAGCACATATTGCAAGTCCCTTCTTGTAACAATATTCAATAACTGGAATTTAGCTAGGGGATTTTGAAGGGAAGAATGCACACAAAACCACAATAGTGGGTGAGCTGGTCAAAGTTAACACTGTCATTCTCCCAAACACTATGATCGCTGTTTTCCAGAAGGCCTGTGCTATGGTTCAATCACTTTAGACTCTGGTCTCTATGGTCTTTAGAAGGCAACATGTATGACTTCACAGACTTTAACATGCAAGACACACAGCCTTGCTGCGTTTGGGGGCTCTCCTGGTCATTCTGCCAGGTGGGGCCTTTGATTTCTGTTCCAAAGGCCGGCACTAAAAGAGATCAAAGTGTGGGGGTAATTCAGATGGAAATTCCCAGGTGTCAAACCAGGTTATGTATGTATGCCACTACTGCGGCCCGTGTTTTGTTAGCCCTAAAATGGAAAAAGAGAAAAGTCCCAACTGAAGAAGACTGGCAACTTAGACTGATGGAATATGTGCAGCTTGCGGACCTAACCTACAGAATAAGAGAAGAAGAACATACGTTTGAAGAAGATTGAAAAATGTTTATTGAATATATGGGGGGGGGGAATTGTGTACAGTGGTACCTCAAGTTACAAACGCCTCAGGTTACAAATGCTTCAGGTTACAAACTCCGCTAACCTAGAAGAGTTACCTCAAGTTGAAAACTTTGTCTCAGGATGAGAACGGAAATTGTGTGCCGGCGGCACAGCGGCAGCAAGAGGCCCCTTTAGCGAAAGCACGCCTCTAGTTAAGAACAGTTTCAGGTTAAGAACGGACCTCCGGAACGAATTAAGTTTGTAACTAGAGGTACCACTGTACATTTGAAAACATTGGCAGCACTAAGATAAATTCAGCAGTGTAAATAAGTTTTGATGGATGCAGTGGCAGAGCAAGCCGACTGGGTGCCTGGGGCGGGGCCAGCTGCTGTGGGAGCGGGGCCAGCCACCCACAGTGCAAGGCAAGCTGGGGCAGGATGCTTTGCAGGGTCTCCAAGGAGTCTGCCTGCCTTCTCCCACTCAGCCGCCCTACAGCTGAGGGGGAGGCGGCTGGCGGACCGTTTGGGCAGGGCGGAGCCTGTGCGCGCCTAAGCCACCGCATTTCTCCCAGGAGAGATGTGTGGCTCGTGCATGCTGCAGGCCCCACGGTGAGTGCTGCCCAGCTCTACCGCACTCCCTTCCTCCGCCATTAGATGGATGTAATACAGTGGTACCTTGGGTTAAGAACTTAATTCATTCTGGAGGTCCGTTCTTAACCTGAAACTGTTCTTAACCTGAAGCACCACTTTAGCTAATGGGGCCTCCCGCTGTCGCCGCGCCACCACCGCGCGATTTCTGTTCTCATCCTGAAGCAAAGTTCTTAACCTGAGGTACTATTTCTGGGTTAGCGGAGTCTGTAACCTGAAGTGTCCGTAACTCAAGGTATCACTGTAATGGAATACTGAATGGTTTAGTTTATATAAAATATGCACGGATTTATGTTATGCAAAATGAACCATGGAAAGAGAAAAAGGGAAGTCATTGATATTTTAAGGTTGTTTAAATGAATATTTTAAATTGTCAAACAGTGTGTGTGTGTGTGTGTGTGTGTGTGTGTGTGTGTGTGTAAAATGTATCTACTGCACCTTTGCAGGGGTTATGCATAAAACCATGTCATCAAACCGTGTAAAAGTTTTAAAACCAGAAATGAGCTTTTTATCATTATGTATACAGATATGTATATGGGACGCGGGTGGCACTGTGGGTAAAACCTCAGCGCCTAGGACTTGCTGATCGTCAGGTTGGCGGTTCGAATCCCCGCAGCGGGATGCGCTCCCGTTGCTCGGTCCCAGCACCTGCCAACCTAGCAGTTCGAAAGCACCCCCGGGTGCAAGCAGATAAATAGGGACCGCGTACTAGCGGGAAGGTAAACGGCGTTTTCGTGTGCTGCGCTGGCTCGCCAGATGCAGCTTGTCACGCTGGCCACGTGACCCGGAAGTGTCTGCGCACAGCGCTGGCTCCCGGCCTGTAGAGTGAGATGAGCGCACAACCCTAGAGTCTGTCAAGACTGGCCCGTACGGGCAGGGGTACCTTTACCTTTACCTTTTATACAGATATGTATCAGAGTGGTTAGCAGCAGTTGTATGCAAACCCATACAATAAAAACAAAAACAAAACAAAAAAATTCTACTGCTCCACATCAGATCACCAGACAGATCACCAGTAATCTCTGTAACAAAAGGATCTTATCAGTAGGCAGGCTTCTACCACTTTCAGTAGCTCTTATGACTCCACAGAACCTCTCTTGTCCAAATCCACCAATCTTACAACGCTGTAAAGAAGTCAAACTCCATGGACCCATTCCCCTCAGTATTCCCAGGAATAATTCAAAACAAGGGTATTGGAAACCTGCAGCCTTCCCTATGTTGTTGGACTGCAGGTCCCATCATTCCTGACCATTTGCCGTGCTGGTTGAGGCTTGAGTCCAGCAGCACAGGAAGAGTCATAGAGTTGTAAGGGACACTGAGGATCATCTACTCTAACCCCCTACGATGCAGGAATATGCAGCTGTCCCTTACAGGGATCGAACCTGCAACTTTGGTGTTATCAGCACCAGGTTCTAACCAGCTGAGCTATTCCATTTGCAGATTCTCTGTCTCTATGAGCATCCTTCACAGTTGGGGGTCTGGAGCCAAACTCTGGCACCCGGTAAAAGAAGGACTTTGCTGCAAACGGTAAGAACAGGAGTTCTTGCATAAGCAAAAATAGTGATACATGCAGACATTAAAAATGGCCACCACGAAACCCAGAAATGAATGCCATTGTCGTGAAGTATGCAATGTTTTGCATTAAGCCCCATCCCTAAGTATTCAGGCACAAAGAAAATCCTGTGTTTTTGTTACCCATGTGTTGATGGCATATTTGTAGGTAAGCTATTCTAAAGATTAAATGTTCCCATTAGTGTTAGCAATTTAGCAGGCACACAGCTATTTCCTCCCCTCTGAAAACGTGATGCTGCAAGAGCCAAAGTAAATACGTCCACATGCAACCAGGGTGAAATGCACGTAACTTCAATAAGCCTCAGCTTTAATAGAAGTAAAATACAGCATATAAGGGCTTGGCTGGATTAGCAACGGAGTGGGGGGAAATACATAAGATGAGATCCAAAGCACACTTGCAATTTATTACAAAGGGAAAGGGATAATTACTACTTAATATGTGGAATTTTGCACAGAGATGCCTTTAAATTAAGATTATTAAACACATGTGGTACAATTACGCTCATAAAAATAAACCCATGCAGAAAGCAATCTTGTTACTGGGTAATTATATTTATTATTTATAGACATATAATGTTGTTCGGGGTGCTTTATACCAAGTATAAAGACATTCTGAATAGAAAACAAAAATCTAGCCTGAGAGAAGTCCCAGATGAGGCTCAGAGGCCGATTTCCAGTAAGCCAAGCCAGTCTTAAACCTTCAGTAATGAGGCTGTTAGGAATTCCTCATCATCAGAGGAAATTCCCTGTCTGCGCTGATCATCAGTCTTGGCCAGGACTATGCCAGCATTTGTTACACAACCCTTGTCCGACACAGGAAGACGACACCTGATGCTGACCTTAGTATGTAATGTGAAAAAGACACCTCATGTTTTCATGGTGGAGGGTCTCAAATCGTATCCGCTTTAAAGATCACAGGGAGACTTACCAGGCAACGTGGGAGTTTGGCCCATCAGCAATGCCTTGGCTCATCAGAGTCACAGTTTATCAAGTGGGATTTTAACAGGTGCCCAAACACAGTTTTTATTTGTAGAATTTATAGAATGTTACTGCGGAAGCACACCAAAAGGGCAGGTCAGCCAGGGCACAGGAAGAGCGTACACAGAAGCTGCCAAAACTATACCATGAAGACTCATTTCTGCACCTATCATGAAAGACGTTGGCTGCATAATCGGGTGGATTAGATAAGCACATTTATCAGTCCAAGATGTGCTACTACAAAATGACAGGGAGAGTAGATCTGGTTGTTTCTTCTGGGGGATAGGACATTGGAGATTTACGATGTCTTTGTAACGTTCACTTTAAACAAAACATGCAAGCAGAATATATGTAGAGAAAAGTATTGTTATGAGTTTGTGGGTGCTAGATTCCCACAAACTTAAAACTAACTAGCTTGATTAATTTCAGAGGGTATGGAAGGTATGGGTATGGAGAAATGTCGGAGGGTTATGTGACCCCCAAAACAAGGAGATAAGTAGCTGTAGAAGACAACTGAAGGCTTTTTTAAAAAATGCTTAATGTTTTGTTATGTTTTTATATATGTTGGAAGATGTCCAGAGTGGCTGGGGCAACCCAGTCAGATGGGAGGGGAATAAATAATAATAATGATGATGATGGAATAAAGTAAAGGTAAAGGGACCAATGACCATTAGGTCCAGTCGTGGCCGACTCTGGGGTAGTGGCGCTCATCTCGCTTTATTGGCCGTGGAAGCCGGCGTACCACTTCCGGGTCATGTGGCCAGCATGACTAAGCTGCTTCTGGTGAACCAGAGCAGTGCACGGAAATGCCATTTACCTTCCCGCTGCAGTGGTACCCATTTATCTACTTGCACTTTGACGTGCTTTCGAACTGCTAGGTTGGCAGGAGCTGGGACCGAGCAACAGGAGCTCACCCCGTTGCGGGGATTCGAACCGCCGACCTTCTGATCGGCAAGTCCTAGGCTCTGTGGTTTAACCCACAGTGTCACCCATGTCCCTCTAGATGATGGAATAGGACAAACCTATTTTCACTGCAAAAATGATGGAGGCTATGAGAGATATATCTCAGACATCTGCATGCTTTCATTGCATAAGATAGGTTTTGCTGTTGCGAACGTCACATAAAGTTAACCCTCTTCTGTGTAGGTCTGTTGTTTGTTTGGTTGCCAAAATCCTGGCTTTGGAATCAGCATGTCTTTTCCTCACATTAAATTTATTAGGTTGGTAAGAAGCCAGAAAGCACAAGGCTCCATGTTCTCGACTGACCTGTTTTCCGGTACTCTCTGGCAAGACAAAAGCATTAGCCTTAAAAAGATAGCAACGTGTTCGGGCTTCCTGCCTTACAACTCCCTGGGGAGCAGGTTGGTCTTTTCATGTGCACTTTGATGTTTTAAATGAAAGGGCACTTCAATAATAGCTTTGCTACTGTAATGGATATGCAAATCTAAAATCCTTGATATCTGTTTCACTGGATGCCAACTCAAAAGATACGAGCTAAAAAAATCCCAACACACAGTCCTTTCCCCAATTCCTCGGAACTTTACCCACAATGCTTTGCACTCAATGAATGGCAACAAATCTATTATTTACAAGCTAACCTCCCTCCTTTCGGCCTGGGTGGAAGTCTGATTAAACACATTGGGAACAATTGTGGAATATGTATATAAAATTTACAACATGTTATGGTCTAAGAGGGGGACGCGGGTGGAGCTGTGGGTTAAACCACAGAGCCTACGACTTGCCGATCAGAAGGTCGGCGGTTTAACCTGTGCGAGGTGAGCTCCGTTGCTGGTCCGCTCCCCAGCCTAAGTTGACACGGGGTTATAAATCACATAGTCAGATCGGCGGAATAGAGTGCTCCGTTGCTTGGTCCCTGCTCCTGCCAACCTAGCAGTTCGAAAGCACAACAAAGTGCAAGTAGATAAATAGGTACCACTCCGGTGGGAAGGTAAACGGCGTTTCCGTGCGCTGCTCTGGTTCGCCAGAAGTGGCTTAGTCATGACCTGGAAGCTGTACGCCGGCTCCCTTGGCCAGTAAAGCGAGATGAGCACCGCAACCCCAGAGTCGGCCACGACTGGACCTAATGGTCAGGGGTCCCTTTACCTTTACCTTTAGGCAAACTAAGGCCCAGGGGCCGGATGCGGCCCAATCGCCTTTTAAATCCGGCCCCCAGGTGGTCCAGGAATCAGTGTGTTTTTACATGAGTAGAATGCGTCCTTTTATTTAAAATGCATCCCTGGGTTATTTGTGGGGCATAGGAATTTCTTCCTTCCCCCCCTTCCCCCCCCCCCAAAATATAGTCCGGCCCCCCACAAGGTCTGAGGGACAGTGGACTGGCCCCCTGCTGAAAAAGTTTGCTGACCCCTGATTTAAGCAATACCCCCTAACACATCCTCATAAAAAGGAGTCTAGCAGGCGAGGCTGCTTCGAACCACATGGGTCAGCCACGCACAGGTCACGCTATCAAATTATCTCTGTCATATTGTTCCCGCCTCAAAACGAAATACATACTTTATTTGATGAAAGGAAAACACACCTCGCTACTGAACCGTTAATGGCAAAAGGCATTCGAGGGACAGGAAAGAAGCCAAGCTGCCCCTGGAATGCAAACGAAGCGGTGGGGTTTTGCAGGAGACAAGAACGAATTCACGTTCCGTGCCGCAGAACACAGACAGCTTCATAAAACGATGGCCGGCAATGCTTCCTTTTATTTTTGTCCTCCAGCAAGCCAAACATCTGTATGGCACCATGCTGTTATTTATTAGCAAACGATTGATGAAGAGAGGGGTTTTGTTTTTTGTTTTTTTAAAAGAGGAGGTCCATCTCTAGGATTCTATAGCAGATGTTTCCTTTGCAGACTGTCAAGTCAGCAGGTGCTGGGCAAGGTGACTAATGCTATGGATTTTATAGTTCCCATGCATGATTTATGGTTGAGGAAAGCTATTAGTCACCATTTTATAAAGCCTCTATAAGAGCAATGTTTTCAGGCTCCGCTGCTGTTGCTTTTAAAGGGGAAAAGTCACAACCCTCGGTAGATTAATAAAAATGATATGGCCGGGGTCAGAAAGCACACACGACTTCTGAGAAATGAGGCGTTATTGAGCTTGTGAATTGAAACGAGAGGTTTAGGTAAGACAGGCTCTCAGGGGGGAAATACTGGAGGAACCTAGTAGCCTATGAGCATGGGATGAATGTGGCCCAAGGCTGATTCATCGGTAGCTATCAGAGGTGAGCTAGCGGTCAGTGCCAAGATACACACCAGAGCCAGGAAGGCATCGATGCTCTGGCAAGGCTCCAGGCCAAACAGGAAGCCTTTCATAGCCATTCCTATCCATGAGGGTCCAATAGCTGGCCTCAGTGGGCAGGGCAAGTCCAGAGCCTGAGAATACGTCGGTGCTAGAAAGATTTTCTAAACTGCAGTTCTGATAGCTCACCACATGGGGAAGCCACACAGAGACATGAAGACTTCTTGTTCTGGCACTGCCTGATGCCCCTGAGTAAATCTTTGGCTGCACACACAGACCAGCCTACTTTCAGAAAACAGGACTAAGCATCGAGAAACTGCTTTCCTTGGGCTAAGCCAGAGTGGTGTAGTGGTTAAGAACAGTGGACTCGTAATCTGGTGAACAGGGTTCACTTCCCCGCTCCTCCACATGCAGCTGCTGGGTGACCTTGGGCTAGTCATACTTCTCTGAAGTCTCTCAGCCCCACTCACCTCACAGAGTGTTTGTTGTGGGGGAGGAAGGGAAAGGAGATTGTTAGCCACTTTGAGACTCCTTCGGGTAGTGATAAAGCAGGATATCAAATCCAAACTCTTCTTCTTCTAAGATTCTCATGAGAGGAAAGGGAAACCAGCAGCCAGCAGAACAAAAGGGTGATGA